GAAGGAGATATAAGCTCATCATGATGTGTATGTCCTCCACTTCCCAATTCAGTGCCATTCTTGGATGACCTACAAAAAGAAGGATCGGTATCAATCTTATCAGTAGAAACATTAAGTAAATCACAAGGAAGAGTGGGATTAGAAGTGACTAAGTAAGTAGCAATCTTATTGCTAGCCTCTTCTAATGTTCCAACACCACTCAAAGGAGAAGCTACCGGTATAGCTTGTGCAACAGCTCCTTTATCATCAGTACCTGCAGAATCAACAAACTCGCCTTTCTCAAGGCTATCATCAAGTGTAATGTTCAAGGCAGAATCACAGTTAAGATAAGATGATGCATCAAAATCATGAGAGATGGAAAGGAGGTGATCAACTTCTAAACAGTTAACACACACCACGTTACCATAACATGAGCAAAAAGAAGAAGAATGAGGGGTAGATAAACAAGTAAATGCATCATCATGCTCAACAATCTCACCATACCAGTCATGTTCATGCATCTCAGATTCATGCAAATCATCAACATCATTAACAGCACAATCAATCAAATTAACACCCAAGTAAGAGCAATCTGCATAACCTTACTCATTGCATCAGAAATGTTGAAGGTAATCTGTTGGTCCCCAAAGCCCATGGTAATGACCCCGTCTTTCACATTAATTATGGTTTGGGCTGTTCTAAGAAAAGGTCTTCCTAGAATCAAAGTGCTATCGGCTTTAATCTCATCAGTCATATCTAGCACATAAAAGTCAGCTGGGAACACAAGACCCTTCACTTGCACAAGAACGTCCTCAAGAAAGCCCTTAGGATGTCTCACAGTCCTATTAGCTAGACCTAGCACAACACTGGTGTCTTTCAAGGCATGAATACCCAAACTCTCATAGATAGAGGTAGGCATAACATTTATGGCTGCACCTAAGTCTAGTAAGGCATGTGAAATGTTTGTTTTGCCTATGGTATAGGGAATAGTGTAGGAACCCGGGTCTTTACACTTAATAGGCAGCTGTGGTTTGAAGATAGCACTAACACTAGACCCCAATTGGATTCTCTCACTATGCCTATACTTCCTCTTGTTTGTACATAGATCTTTTAGAAACTTAGCACACTTAGGCATCTTCTTAATCAAATCAAGTAATGGCACATTAACCTCAAGTTTGCTAAACATTTCAAAAAGCTCATCATTATCTTTCTTTTCAACAACTTTCTTACTCATGAGATATGAATGAGGAAAAGGCAAGTCAGAAATGTTTACCTCATCACCTTTGGAAGATGATCCTTTCTCTATTGGCTCTTTGGATTGAATGGAGGTCTCTTGAGTAGTCTTGGGAATGTCTTGAGTGGTTTTAGAAGGAGGAGACTCAACTTCTATCTCTTCGTCAACCGGTTCTTCATCCTCTTCATCTTCTTTGAATTGCACTTTCTTAGCACCAATTTCCTTACCGCTTCTCAATGTAATTGCATTCAAAGATTTAGGATTTATCACCGTGTTGGAAGGCATTGAACCACTAGCCTTAGCTTGCTGTTCACTCACACCATTTGACAACTTAGTGACATAAGAAGTCAAATTAGAGGTTCTAGTTTCCCATTGCTCCATCCTATTCTCTAGGCCTGCAAATCTAGCTTCAGATTTAGCTTCAGACTTAGATATGTGCTCAGTCATTGCCTCAATGCCCTTGAGTATTCGAGAGAACCGCTCATCATCCTTAGACTGTGATTGCTGTAGGGTAGACATGGCTCTAGAAGATTCTCCTTGTAACCCTCCATAGTAAGATTGCCCTTGAGGAACCATATTCCCTTGAAACCCCTCTTGAACCTGCCTATTGTCACATCCTCCCCATCGAAAATTTGGATGAGCTTTCCATCCTTCATTATATGTGTTTGAGTATGGGTTCCATTGCTTAGATTGATTGGCCCTTCCTTGATACATGGCAGAAACTTCCTCATATCTATGAGGGCAAGCAGCAAAGATGTGCATAACAGAATTACAATGCTCACAACTAGGTGCAGTCATCTCCATAGAATTAGAAGTCTGAGTGTCAACAGGGGGAGTGTGAGATGCAAGCTTATTCAACTGTGTAGTCAAAGCAGCAATTTGAGAAGTGAATATGTCCAATTGAGGAATGTGGACTGAAGAAGGATTAGCATGCATTGCATTGATATTTTTAGACTCCCTGATGCTATACTGTTGATGGTTCAATGCCATTTTCTTGATAAGTTCCCATGCCTCCTCAGCAGTTAAATCAATAAGAGAACCCCCAGAGGCAGCATCCAACATCCCCTTATCTTGGGTCTTAAGTCCATCATAAAAGTATTGGACTAACTGCTCATCTGGAATCTGATGGTGTGGACATTTAGAAAGCAAGTCCTGGAAATGGTTCCAGTAGTCATAAAGTGACTCATCATAATCTTGCTTTGCAGAGTAGATCTCTTTTCTCAATGTAAAAGTTCGGGAAGCAGGGAAATACTTCTCCAAGAATGCTTTTCTGAGGTTGTTCTAGTTATGGTAGGCATCTGCCATATAACTAGGCAAGCTCATGTACCATTCTCGCGCTTTGCCCTCCAGAGACAAGTGGAATACCTTCCAAAGAACCTCATCCAGATTAGCCCCAACCGGCTTCATGCTAGCGCATACCATAGAGAGAGATTTCAGATGATTGTACGGGTCCTCACCTGTCAAACCATAAAATTTAGGCAAATAATTAAGCAGTGGACCTTTAATCTCAAAATTAACATCAACATTAGGGCATGCAACATTAAAAGGATCATAATTTGCATCAGAAGTAGTGGCTTCCCTAATGGTTCTTCTTCTAGGGTTATCTCCATTATTCTCTCCTACTCTATAATGCTCCCCATTATGTCCATTGCCCCCTCTCTCATTACCACCATTGTTGTTACCATTAGGATTATTAACTGTTTCCATTATGTCACCTAAGTCAACCACCAAATCTAGATCAGTTAAATTGTCTAGTTCAACCTCACTAGTCCTTTCTACCCTTTGGTCTTGTCTAACTTCTCTTAAAGAACTTTGAAGCTCAAGATTGGAAGGAACTAGGGTTTTAGACCTACCCTTTCTTGGCATAAACAATCAATCAACCAGAAGCAATTAAGCAAAAGAAAACAAATGAATGCAGTGCAATGCAAGTGTATGTGTATGAGAATGAAAAATCAAGATATTTAATTGTATTTTTGAAATTTTTTTATGCAAAGGAAGAAAAAAGAATGCTATGAAAAATCAAAAGAAACAAATGCAAACTACTAAAGAAAATGCAAAAACTAACAAAAATAAAAACTAAAAAGGCTCAACAAATGAACCCCAATTAAGGCTACTTGACACTTAATTACTAGGGAACCAATTTCTTGGCTCCCCGGCAATGGCGCCACTTGAAGTTAACTTGCCCTTAATTGTCGCTTTGGGGTTACTCCAAAAATTAACCGAATTAATGCAATATAGTGCACAATCCGGATCGTATTCACTTTGAGAAGCCGAAAACGAAATTAAATCCTAGTAAATAAATACAAGTAACCTAAACTATAAAAGGATTTTTTATTTGAGTTTGAAAAATTGCTAACTAAATGCCTTGAATTAAATTGAAATTAAAATACTTTTTTTGTTATTTTCTTTTATATAAAAGATTATTGAAATAACTGAAGATGAAAGAAATGAAAATGAGACACACAAATAACACTGATGATAATCAATCCTCTAATTCAACAATGTAGGCAATCATCACTCTAAAAGATGTGGGAGTTAAAAACAATGAATTAAGAATTATAATTAAGCTTTTAATCCAACAACCGAGCCACCTCGAGTTGCCACAAAATATTTTCCTAAAATTCAAATTACTAACTGCAACCAGAATAGTAAAATGAAATTAAGGATACTAAAAACCAATGCTCAATTAAATTCTTAAATTCACAACAATAGACTTAAAGCTAGCAAGAGACAATATGATCAAGATTCTAAGCCACCTTAGAAAATCACAATATATTAACTCCAAAATCAATACAAATGTCATAACCACAACATCATAATTGAAATCAAAGCTATAAACAGCCCAATGTCAAATGCTAAACAATAATCCAGTCACAATAATCCCCAAATATAATCAGATTAAGCAATACAATTATCCCAACAATTAGAAAAACTATCCTAAGACCTAGAAATTGTTAAACAATTATTGAGTAGGAAATTAAAGCAACTAAAACTCCCCTTTGATGATCCAAGCTCCTGCCATTATTGTTGAATTAGAGAATTAGGAATTAGCCACGGTTTGCCATCAAATTCGCTGCAATCAGTATTTTGCTACAGGATCCCATGGAAGAACACTGTTCAAGCTGAATGGTTCACGTCTCTGTTTTGCTTGCGCCTCCCTTTTGTTGCCGCCGCCCAGCTCTTCGGTTTTGTTCTCTCCCGTTCGCCGTGTTCAGCTCTCCTCCGTTTGTGCTTGCGTCTTTCTCTGCTTCAGCTCGTCTTCAGCGTCGTGTGTGTGTGGTTTATTTTTGTGCCGCTTCCCCTGTTTCGTGTGTGTGTTCGGCGTCGTGTGTGTGTGGTTTATTGGATATTAGGTTGTCAGTGGGGGGAGCAAAACGCCTTTTTTTTTTAAATTTTTTTTAAATTTTTTTAATTTTTTTTAATTTCTTTATTTTTTAATTTTCATTTTTATTTCTTCCAAAAACCTGCAAACAAAATTCAAGGATAAGATAACATTAATTGTCCTCAAAAATCAATTAGTCACAATTAAACCAAAATATGACAATTTTACCCCTATAAAATAATAATTCAAAATAAAATAAATTAAATCAATTAAGGCAAAAAGGGGCCAATTAAACTGACAAAACTCATATAAAAGATATCAAAATATATAAAAATAATTGAGTTTGTCAGTTATAAAAAGAAAGAACCTATCAAATATAATTTCAAAAGAAAATCCCAGGTTGGAGCCAACGAATATCGTACAAAAATAAAGAGATAGTAAGAAAAAGAGGGAAGTAGGAGTGACCTGCTGTGTGTGGCGGAATTGGTGGTGGCAACATCAAATCTTCCTCGATTGACTAAAAGAGATTGAGAAGGTGATGGAGTTTGGTAAACAGAATTGCCAAGAGGTCGAAGCTCCAATGCAGAAATGAAAGGTACTCCAACCACAGTTTTCACAAGGCACACATGAATTGTGTCTGTTGTGGGAGTATGAATAATCTCAACAACAGAATAAAGTCTTTGCACAGTAATAGTATCCCAACGATTGACGCCAAGGTACAAGTCGAAGGTTGGAGTTTGATTTTTGCCGTCATAATTCCCATATGTAAAATAAGCTCTAATTAGATAAGTATGGTGCTTGCCTTGTTTTGGTTTGAGAGTGTAGCAATTCCTTTTTCCTTCCGGAAAGCTTCTCAAGGTGGTTAGAAGTCCCCCAAAGTAAGAATAATCAACGTCTACACTGGGGAGAACCTTAAAAATTGTGCCAGTTTTTACAATGTTTGTATCTGTCTGATACCATATGCCCGTTGCCTCGTCGAAGTAATCATTTGGTGCCCCACAATCGATGCTTATGAATCCTAAGCAAAAATAGTCCAAAAATAAAAATATAATAAGTAATGTTTTAATTAAATTTAGGATAAAGGTATACTCAACATCTCAAACTATTTTTAGAGGTGCATCTAGCACCCTACACTATTTATTGGTGTAATTTTGCTCCAAAACTAATAAAAATGAAACATTTCACCCTTTTACTAACAGACATGAAAACGTCCGTCAATGCCAACATGCTAAAAAAAATTCCCAGTTTCAGATCTGTGATAGGAGCCATAGAACGAGAAAGAAGCTTCAACACAGCTTCCCTTTTCAGATCTAAGCATTATCTTCTTCATATTTTGATTTCTTCTCTCACTGCACCCCATTTTCTTAGGTGTTGCATCTTGCCTTCACGAATGGAGGACACACCGTCGGTCTAAAGGCCCAACTCAATCTCTAAATCCTTGTCCTGGCACACCAAAGAGCTTCCAAGATAGCCCCAACAGTCCAAAATATCTAGCCATCACATTTCTCCTTCCATTTAACCCTAACAGTGCATCTGTAATCAAAACACACGGTAGCATATTTTCTTCATTCGCTGTGGATTGGCTATGGTGAATCAACAGTGAACAACCACAAATTTACCCCTCTTGGGCTGCATTTACCTTTCATTCGTTGTGGCAAACCAACAGCGAATGCATTGGAAAATGAGAATTTTCTACATTTGTCTTTAGAACCCTTCCATGCTTCCTTCTAGACAATCTACTCTTCAAGGGTGTCCTACACAGGTTGAAAATACTGGTTTCCATCCTTCATTCAAATCTCGATGAATCACTTTTAGTCTTGAATATTTATGTAAATAAACAAGTCCTTGAGCTATGCCGTGAATAATGCTGAGCCGTCTTTTCCAATCCAATACAATCCTATTATTGTCATCCATATCAATGAAATTCTGAGGAACACGTTATGACATATCCATTTTGATAGTAAAGCATTATTATAATTTAAATGATTAAAACTTGATTTAGAAGGTAGACGATCCCCTAAACATGCTTAACTAAGTAAATTTAAATGGTAGATGGGTTGAAAATTATTTGCTTTATCGTATTTTGGGGGCTTTTTTGAGTTGTCTTAGAAATTTTAATTTTGGATGATTAAATGATAATACTTTTTGAAAATATGGACAGTAAGTCATCCAAAAGTGTAACTTTAGTTTAACAGTTTCTAACATAAAACCAAACAAAGCAGCACTAAATAGGCAAATAATAATCCTATATGACTTGCTTTAATTGGATTATGTAGCCATGCATGCATATGGGTTGGCATGTCCAAATAAACGAAGAAAGCTTTTATCGCTATATTTGTTGCTTTGTTCAGGCTTGGGCCTGCTCTTTTATTCTTAAAAAAAAAAAAAGGAAAGGAAAAAGAATTTATGGCTGAACTGACTGCAACGTCGAAATGTTCGGTCATCACAAATAGTGTTGAGACGATTTTGTGGTCCTTCATAATTGACACCTGCAGCTTTTCCTCTTTTGATATTTGTAGTTTTCTGCAATTTTCCAGTAAGACTGCGTCAACCTTGAATATTCGCCAGTGCAACTACTATTTCTATAATAGCCACACAAAAAATTCTTGATTATTTTAAAGATGTGAGGGCATACACAGTATTGGAATTAGATTGGGATTTTTTTAAACTGCGTTTTTGTGATCACTCTCCATCTCTTAATTGCTCTATTTGCGGGTTATAATTTCATTGCTTACTCTTTTTCACTTTGACATGATCAAAGAAAATGAATAACTATCTAACAAGAGTTAAATCTATAGGAAATTACTAGTACCTCATAACGTGACGAACTAAAGTAAGAATTCTCACTAGAAAAAGTATCCACATTTAGTGTCCGACAGTACTTTGAACAAGATTGCCTACAATAAGAAATACCTATATTTAGGGGAGGAAAAAAAAGAAAGAAAATGAATAACCCATATTTTGGTGCGTCGCTACAGAAAAGATGATCTTTGACTAAAAGCTTTGGATGCATAACCTTATATGGTCAATGGGATTTGTACGGAGTACCCTAGCTATCCAGTCAAAGCGAAACAGGCCGAAATCGAATTTTCGTGAGCCTCTTATAATTTAGCGTGTTTAGGGCGCTCGTGAAAGTGGGGGGAAAAAGGCAACGGGTGGTAAAACGCAAGAGACAAATTGACTTGATGACGCAAAGTTCGATCTTCTGCAACTTTCCAGGATCATTTAAGTTCACGAGCTGAGTCTTCCTCCCCTCCAACTCACCATAAAATATGGGGAATATATATATATATATATATATATCTCTTATTGAGGGGACACTTTTTGGCCAACAAAAATATATTGAGGGGACACTTAAGCTGTGTTTCATCTGCCACACTTATTAAAGCAACTAGATCACAACATGGCCGCTTGTTGTAATATCTTTTTCCAATCTATCTATCTATTAATGTATTAGAACCTTGCTAAAAACCACATCCACAAACAAGTTAGTGAATCAAATTATCATCTCAAAAGCATTAATTATTACTATGCCACTAGTTACTATTTACTATGTACCGATGATGTATCATAAAATAATTACACTCTTACCTGAGAAGAAAAGGGAAAAGAATTACAAGCAAAGTATTCACAAGATCCAATTTCGGTGCACATCACTTTGATGAGCATCCTAACCTCATCATATCTGAACTGTTCATATTTTATTTGGATGGTTCAGATTTGATTTCTTCTTTATTTTATTTGTTCAACATTGTAATTTTAATATGTATAAAATTTAAAATAAAAATAATTTTGTAATTATCTTTTTTTAAAAAATATATTTTTATATTTAAACATAATTAATTAAACATTTTAAATCTAAACTGTTCAAATCAGATATAGACAGTTTAGATCTGATGAGTTTAGAATGCTCATCAAAATGATGAGCACCGAGACTAGTATTCACATGCGTGCTGTAGGCTCGAAGTAAAAATAATTCAATTGACTCAGCTCTAAGATTGAGTGCTTCCTTTGAAATTATGTACTTTGGAAGCACAATGATTGATCAATTTTGGAATTTTACGCAAATTGAAGGCTTGTATATGTAAAGTATTTTTTTTTAAAGTATTTTTTTTAATAATAGTCAATATCGTAAAGTAATTTTTGATGTATTTAGTATTTTAAAATATTTTTCTGTAGCACTTACTATTTTAAAGTAATTTTTAGTACAATTTTGTTCTTAAAATATTTTTTAAAATAGTAATAAGAACCTTAAATTTAGGATATTTTTAGGGTGCTAGATGTACTAAAAATTATTTTAGGATATTGAATACTACTAAAAAATATTTGAGGATTGTGGATGCGTAAACAAAATTATTTTAAAATACTGAATACTACCAAAAAGGCATTGTGGATGTACCCAAAAAAAATTAGTTTAAAATACTGGATATTACCAGAAAATATTGTGCTAGTTGCTCATTGTATTTTCTGTAGATTCTTGAATATCTCACCGATAAAGCTAAACAAGGGTAAAGTTTGAGAGGGGGGGGGTGTATCATATTCATGAAAATACATGAAGAAGCAGTTCACCATAGGAATAGCCAAGGAATAAAAAACCAAATCAGACGCTAAATTAGTTGAGATAGTAATGCAAAGGTTCGTAAGTCAGACTAGGGTCAACTCAAAATCAAACCGGTCATATTAAAATGATATAATTTAATTAAAAATAATAAAATAAAACAACATTAATAATAATTAATAACAAATATAAGAAAATACAACAATAATTTGATTGTGACAATAACAAAACACAATAACATTGAGAATTTTGATCTTTATGATTCCCAAATAACTAAAATTAATAATAATTGATGCCAAAATCATTATTAAAATTTATTTAAATTTATATTGACTGAGATATTAGAAGTTAAATGAGAAAAAAATAAGACCAATAGCAACATAATCATTCAAACTGGTTTTCACTGGTTCGTCCCTATTTAACTGGTTTGATTATATTATAAATTTTTATAATTTTTTTTTATTTACTGCATAACAAAACTTATTTACTTAGGTTTCTTTGTAAATGGCTGGAAAATATATTAAATAAATATTTTTCATCATATAATATATATTGTCTAAGTTTGAGAGACTATAGAAATCATTTAAATTTATAATTTAAATTTTTTAAATAAAAATTTTGTTGGAAACATTTATAACATATTTAGTCTATGATATATTTATTTAAAGAATTAATCAAATTTCCATTCAAGGTTTTTAATGTCTACATTAACTAAATTAATTAATTTTTCATCCCAATATGATGAAAACACTAAACAAATAATTATTGATAAAAATAAAAAATAAAATTAAGGAAAAGGAAAAATTTAAAATTCTTCAAACCTTTTTAGACAAAATTTGGGGATTTAGTATTATGAAGGGTAAGTCAATAAATAAAAAGTATTTTAAGATAAATTTTAATTAAAAATGTATCCTTTTAGAATATTGTTAACAGAGTTAATGGTTTGGTCTCAAGTATATATTTTCAAAATAGAAGATAGGTTGGTATAATTAAGACAAAATGTAAGAGAGGTTAGAGTATTTTACTCTAAATTAAAATAATAGTTAATTAAGCAAGTTATCCAAAAAAATAATAGTTAACTATATATTATATACTGATAAAAGTTCCGAAGTAATACTTCTATATTGATATTAATTGCAAAAGTATTTTCACCCAAAAAATAATAAGTTAATTTAAAATATTCTTATAACATCATTCAATATACCTGGTAAATAATGTTCATTTATAGTTTTGTATATACTTTTCCAGTGAAACTTCGATAACCAAATTTTTTTTGAAGAGGAGACGTTGAATGCTTGTCAGTTTCTTCTACGTGGTAGCGTCAAAGCGCTTGAATTATGGGGTTGATCATAATATTACAACAAAATAATGAGAAAAATCATTTAAATAAAAGAATATCTTTTCTTTGTGTGTTTTCCTTTTCCACTCCTCCTAGCATAACAAATTGACTTGACCAATTG